TTAACTCATTTCATATGATTACAATATTAAATATGATTAAATTTTATAATTAATAAAAAAATATTTTATGAAAAGAATAAAAAAAAGACAAAAAGAAAGAAGAAACAAATGGAAAAATTTAATAATAAAAATAAGATTTATTCATTTATTTTGTTATTGATTACTAATATGACAGACCACATCATATATTTTAAGGGGCAATAATATCCAGTAGATATAAAAAGAAATGTATCATAGGTAGTATACTTTTAATTCTATCATGGCAAAATTTAAATATTAATTAGCTATTAATTGACGAATATATAAATAATAATAAAAAATGTGCATCTTTTCATCCTCAACGACAACAACAATGAATAGAATATTCATTTTTTTGTTCAAATCAAAGAAATAAAGTAAAAGAAAATAGAATAATATTAATTGGAATCAAAATAATACAACAATGAATTTTCAAAATGTTTGGAAATCATTCAAACTTTTATAATACTATGACTCTATCTTCCGGAATCTCCAAGATAATTATACTTCCTTCTTCATTTTGTTGAACATATACCAAATAATGTGATGAATTTTTGACGAATATATCTATGATCTTCATCAAAGTGAAGGTCATATTGTGACATCATCTTTTTTATGTCTTCTTTTTATTATGTACATGATTGATGAATAAAAAGACGAAGAAAAGAACATTAAAAATCTATACTACTAAAAAGAAAGAATGAAAAAATGAAAATGAACATTCAACATCTCTATAGATGATAGGTATTTATAGATTGGATAAGTCATAAAAATAGTTAGAAGGAAATTGAAAAGACATGCAATTTAAGTGAGAATATCAATAGATGGAGGTTTTTTTGTAACTCATTATATATAATTACAATAATAAATATACTTGAATTTTTTTAATTAATAAACAAATTATTTCATGAAAAGAAAGAAGAAAAAATGTTTAAAAAGAGAGAAAAAAGAAAAAAAAGGAATGGAGGCCATGGTCCTCATTTATATATATATATATATATATATATATATATATATATATATATATATATATATATATTGATTGTATTTACCCTCTAAACCGGAAAAGATGTATTAATATTCTAAGCCTTTTTCATTTTTAAATCTACAATCCTCCATCCATCGTTTTTGCGGGAGAAATGAATACCAACATTAATATTTCATATTTCATATTTTATGGGAAAAAATATGCAGTTAAGCAAACTTATATGTATTACTTAATTACTCATCATAACTATAATTTGTTATAATTAACGCTCGCGATTAACAGTGTACATTAATTACTTGGGCTGATTTCGAGATTGTATAATTAGCACGTCTTTATATGTATAAATCACCAGAATATACAAATATATATGTATAATATACAATATCTAAACGATCATATACAATCCATCTCTCACACACTTTCTACCCTCTCGCGCTCGCCTCTCTCCTCCCTCTCTCAATCTAAATCGTCTTTCTCCTCCCTCTTCAAATCTCGCTCGCAATATACACAAATGCATATGTATGATATACAATTATCTAACTGATATACATATATAATTTACTTTTCTCTCACTCTTTTTTCTCTCTTGCCTCTCTCCTCCCTCTTCCGATCTCGCTTGCCATATATACATATACATATGTTTAATATACAATTTTGTAACCAATATACATATACAATTCACCTCTCCCACTGCCCTGTCTATCCCCTCTCTCCTCTCTTCTTAGTTTCGTTCGCCTCTCTTCTCGCTATAACATGTAGCTACAAATTGTAATTATCAAACTATAGTTATGGAGAATAATTAGACTATTTTTTAGTGGCTATAAGTGAATGTTTCTCTTT